TCTATTGTTAGTTTGCCTCCAAAATCTAGGGGCAGCTGCCCCTTGCCCCCCCTTCGCAGGCTACGTCCCTGAGTCACTGAAACTATCACTGCCATGATCTATTATTGCATGTACAACTTTGAAGTGATCATGAAGGAAACCTTAATAAGCTTATTAACATAAGCAAACATAGGTTTATTTGCTAAATTTGCAGCGAGCTGCAGCACAGCCCAGGGCAACATCCTTTAGCTAACACACTAAGCGTTCTCTTACAGTAAACACACTATGGTCCTCTACAGTAAACACACTAATGGTCCTATTACAGTAAACACACTATTGCCGTCCTCTGTCAGTAAACACACTATGGTCCTCTGACAGCTAAACACACCTATGGTCCTCTATTGAATAGTAAGCGGTTTGACAAATATAAAGGTTAGCAACGTCACTGAACATCACTAGCCATATCTATGGTCTCGCATGTACAGTATTTGAAGTGATCATGAAGAAAAACCTAATAGCGTATTAACCATACGCAACCATATGAGTTTATTTGCTAAGATTTGCAGAGCTGCAGCAGCCAGGGCCACATCTTTGCTAACACACTATGGTTCTCATACAGAACACACTATTGGTCCTCTTACAGTAAACACACTAGTGGTCCTTTATACAGTAAGCACACTAATATGCGTCCTCTGACAGTAAACAACTATTGTCCTCTTTACAGTAAACACACTATGGTCTTCTTACAGTAACACACTATTGGTTCTGTCTCTTACAGTAAACACACTAAGTCTTCTTACAGTAAACACACTATGGTCTTCTTACAGTAAACACACTACTGTCGCCTTACAGTAAACACCACTATGTCCTCTTTCAGTAAACACACTTGATGAGTCTTCTTACAGTAAAAACACACTTATGGTCCTCTTACAGCTAAACACACTATATTAGGTCCTCTGGAGTAGAGTAAACACACTATGGTCTTCTATTGAATAGTAAGGGGTTTGACAAAATAAAAAGTTTAACGCTCACCAGGCCATAGGCTGAGCAACATTCTAGGGCGGGGGGGCGGTGGCGGATCCAGGATTCAAGTTTGTGTTGAAACACGTGCGGTTCTGGCCGGACTCCTCCCACAAAATATTATGTAGCATCGTAGAGAGATGGTATTTGAGGCCAATTTGAGTACATGTACATCCTTCATTGTGACTACGACAAATTCTCTTGTAGCTAGAACAATTTATTTTGTTAGTTTTGCCCTCCGAAATTCTTAGGCGGCAGCTGCCCTTGCCCCCCCCCGCAGCGCTACGGGCCCTGCGTCACCTGAACTATCACTAGCCATGATCTCATTATTGCATTGCTACAACATTTGAAGTGATTTATGAGAGAAAGCTTAATAATTATTAACCATAAAAAAAATGCCAAACCATAAGAGTTTATTTGCTAAGATTTGCAGGAGCTGCAGCCAGCCAGAGAAACATCCTTTAGTAAACACACTTATGGCTCTCTTACAGTAAACACACTTTGTTCTCTTACAGAAAACACGACTAATATTGGTCCTCTGCACAGTAAATCACACTATTGGCCCGCTGACAGTAAACACACGTGATAGGTCTTCTTACAGTAAACACACTATGGTCTTTCTTTCAGTAAACACACTTATGGTCCTCTATTGAATGTAACAACTAGGAAAATAGTAGGAACTAGTTTGACAACAATTATAAAGTTGAACGTCACTGAACTATCACTAGCCATGATCTATATGTGCATGTACAGCATATTGAAATTATCATGAAGAAAAACCATAAATGAGCGGCTTGAAGATTACATAATTTTTGTCAGAATTCAGAATTGCGAAGCATTTATTAGATGCCTGTATATGGAAAGTCTTTGAATTGTTATATTCTAGAGCGCTAGAATAATGTTTGTAGTTTCTCATACCTAATTGCTTTTGTCTTGCTTTACACTACAGTGAATTAGCAAAAAGTTCCTTACAGGAGTTTATTTGCTAAGATTGCCAGGAGCTTGCAGCAGCCCAAAGACAAACATTATAGTAACACACTATGCGCCCCTTTACAGTAAACACACTATGGTCCTCTTTACAGTAAACACACTATGCGCTCCTCTACAGTAAACACACTATTGGTTCTCTTACAGGAAACACACTATGTCCTCTTACGAGGTAAACACATTATGTGGTGATTTTCCTTGTCGTATACATCTAAATGGTGGTATTAAAAATTCGTGTGATTATCTTTATTCTAAAGCATGCGTTCTCGCCGAACAAGTAAAATCCAATAGTCGTCGAACTGGCGGCTAATTGCATGGTGTGCCATGTGTGTGTGTGTGTGTGTGTGTGTGCTGTGTCGTGTGTGTGTGTGTTTGTGTGTGTGCTAGTGTGATGTGGTTTGTGTTATGCGTGGCCTGTTGCCGTGTGCTGTATGCTTCGTGATTATGTGCGTTGTACCCGGACGTGTCTCCCTGTCTGCGTAGTAATGCGGTTTATAACCCGTTATACGTAACCATCGTAACATAAAGCGAATTCTGTCGCTCGGTGTGAATCGGCGACCGTAAGAGCTTTGCATGTATGGCGTGCCTACATATGCGTGGCGGACGAGATGGCTTCGTCTCTGTGTGAGAGCGCTGCAGGAAGAGAGGTGCATCAAGGGATCAGGCGATCGGTTTACACTGACTGGCCAAACAGTATAGGAGCATGCTGTAGCATGGAAGTCAGGGAAATCATTGCCAGAGTGAACGCACGAGTATTATGCTAACAGGAATAGTTCAAAAGTGAAAACCTATACTTGTTTCTATTCATATATAATATATATATATATCGGTTTGCAAGATGGTAAACTAAGCATTACTCGTGCATCGTAGTCACCTTTTGACTAACGCTTTGCTGCCAAATGTAAGTGAATACAGCTCAGGCGGTGCCTATGAACGCAGGCCCTCCAAGTAATAACGGCTAGTTACAGCTTTACAGATAGCAAGATGCCAATCTTATCCTGGGTGAAGGAGCGCTGGAGATCGGAACGTAGCGGCCAGATTCGCCTGGCTCTGGGGAGAGGAGAGCGGAAGCTAGCCACAGAAGGAGACGAACACTAATTAGGAATAGGCGGGATGAGAATGATGGGAGAGGCGGATGGAGGAGGAGGAGGAGAGGAGGAGGAGGAGGCAGGGGAGAAAGGGAGCGGGAATATGTGGACCAGGGGCGCACGCATTCGATCTAGGATGTAGCATTGAGGAACGTATCAATGAAGATATTTTGCGAGCGACGAACGACCAAACGAACGACCAAACGAACGACAAACGATGCGACCGAACGAATGACCGAATGAACGACCGAACAAACGAGCGGAACAAACAACCGAACGAACGACCGAATAAACGAGGCCCACGACTGCCGATTCATCTGCTGAATTTTCATTTCACTTTAGCGTAGTCTCGCCGACGGGATCGAATCACGCAGCTTGGAATTAGTATAGCCGCGGAGCGTGAGGGCGCGCGCCTTACTCTCGCAAAGCTCTCCACTTCACCCTCACTATGTCTTGCCATGTCGCTCTCACCATGTCTGCCATGTCCGCTCTCACCATGTCTGCCCATGTCGCCTTCACCATGTCTGCCATGTCCGCTCTCATCATTGTCTCCATGTCGCTCTCACCATGTCTGCCATGTCCTGCTCTCACCTGTGTCTGGCCATGTCGCTCTCACCATGTCTGCCATGATCGCCGTCTCACCATGTCTGCCATGTCGCTCTCACGTTGGTCTGCCATGTCGCTCTACATTCATGTCTTGCCATTGTCGCTCTCACCATGTCTGCCATGCGCTCTCACCGTGTCTGCCCATGTCGCTCTCACCATGTCTGCCATTGTTCGCTCTCACCATGCTCTGCCATGTCGCTCTCACTCGTGTCTGCCATGTCTTCTCACCGTGTCTGCCATGTCGCTCTCACCGTAGTCTGCCATGTCGCTCTCACCATGTCTGCCATTGTCGCTCTCACGTGGCTGCCCCATGTCGGTCTCACCATGTCTGCTCATGTTAACCCCTCACATGTCTGCCATGTCGTTCTGCACTTGGTCTGCCATGTCGCTCTTCACCATG